TGGATCTAGTATATCCAAGTTCACCGCAGTCCATCAGGGCGACGAACGCATGCCTGCCTTCAGCCATCCTGTTGATGTTGACAGAGTCGATAGGCTGACAACCGATAGCACGAATATCGCAGAGGGATGTCTTGTTAGGTCTCCAGTCGTCGCTTGTGGCGAGTCTATCGAGTCTACCACGCTATCTGAGGAGATTCTCGTTTGTGATGAACACCAACAGAATGGTTTCACCGATGGCATCGCGGACGTAGAATCTGCACAACAGCCGTGGCCTGATTGCATCATAACAGGCGTTGCTGATGTAGAATCACAGTTGCCTACGACATCAGTTGATACTGGCAGCGTTGGCCAGTTTGACAGCTGCAAGCCTATTGACCAAGTCTCTTCATTGCCAGAGTCTGATGAGCGCACCGAAGCATTTGACATTAGACTGATGCCGTCGGAAGCCGCCAAGACAGTGACTCCGATTCCTACTTCTATTACTTCGCAGTCACGGAACATATTTGGGCCAGTTCGTCATCTGCTCAAGATCGTCCTCATTCTACACATCTTTGCAATCATCTGCGAGGCACAAAAGCATTGCAAGACTGCCCACAATCGGTACACAAGAGCTGCGATCATTGTAAGTCTGTTCAGCCTACAATTTGTGGACGATCCTGACACGCTCAAAGAGAACCGTACGCAGAGGATTAAAGGGCCTGAGTCAGCCATTTGCGGGATCGATTGGGGATCGACTGGACAAGGTCAAGCACGATTTCGAGACAGAAGTCGCCAACGCCAATCGAAACCCCAAGGTTGTCTGGAACAGACTCGCAGCGGAACTGCTGTTTAACTTTATAAAGGCCGACTTTTCCTCCAGGCTTAATCCATTTGCGGGTACACTTCAGTTGGTTGCTAGTCTCTCGCCAACCACTACTCAACGAGCATCATATTTGGTGAGTACTTTTACAAACGCACTTTCTACCGATCCTGTATACTTATGACTATTTAGAGATACGCAAAGACCGGAGTCCAAGTTGTCATCAACGCGCTATCGCCGACGCGTTGCCCTCAGTCAGCTGGTAGACAGTCTCCTCCTATTCGGCTCCCGTCACGCAGAGGCAGCAATCCGTTTTATGGTTCTCCGACAAAGAATGCTGTGTATTCGGATCTCCCGCTGTATCTGCTTGCCTGCATTCATGAGGTAATATAACTTGATTGTAGCGCTATTACAATTAGTTGTTGAGGATTGTATAGGAGTTGAAACACCGAAAAATGCGAACACCGACTACACCAATGACACCAGCATGTCCTGTAATGAAGGGCAACAATGTGCACCCCTTTGTACCGTGCCAGCGAAAGTTTATTGGCTAACCATGCTCGCGCAGAAACTAGAACAGCCAATTGGCTCAAATCCCGCTGCTCCAGATGTTCCTAATCAGCCGTTGGATGTCGTGGATTCCACTCCAATGCTGGACTCACAGCAGCCAAAGCCAGTTCGGCTATTGTCGTCATCAGCGCAAGAAGAATCGCGCCCATTGTTCCCGATTTCGTCATCCACAGATTCAGACGATGTGTGCCTGATAATCCTTGACCGCCTTCAGGAAGCACTTGATTCCGCGTTATTCAAGCCGCCAGCACAGGATGACAACCTGCTGGTTAGTAACGATGCTCAGGCAGTTTCAGACGAATTCTTCACCCCTTCGCCATCGTCCCAGCCGGATCCGCGACAGGCGACTGCGTTCCCTACACAGAGGTTCCTCCAATGGGAGTCGTCCTCGACTCGTCCCCCACTATTTGGGCCTGACTCGGGGATTGAAGTCAGCTGGACAAACTTGGTGAGTCCAACTTGATACTGGAGGTCCAAAGACTGACACCTAACTGTCTCCAAGTCGGAGAAGCTGCGGTCCACGCCTGTTCGCGCTAGCACGGAATGGGAAAACTTGAGATTGGCAGTTGCGCAGCCAATTGACGAGCAGGTAACTGCAGAATTCCAAACGGATATCGTTCAAACTCCTTCCGGTCCAGTTGAGTGCACTGCCACGATCGAAGTCAACGCTAAGCCAAAGCAGCGTGACTCTGGCAAGGAGATCGCTGCAGCAAAAATGAGAATGGTATATGTATTGTTGTAGAGGTTTGAAGAATGCTAACACGCGGGTAGGCGGAAATTTTCAACCGTGCGAAGGAGACCTTCGGAGGTGTGAACTCGAAAGCTGAGCCAAGTAACTTAAGGACGGTGACGCCGATTGGTGCCGTCACGTCTTCCATCAAGTACCTCGTTGCCCACACTACTGATGTCATGAAGGCTAGACATAATTGGGTTTGTTTGGATTGCATTGATTTCCAGAAAGAATGAAATAACCGAAATTTTTAGGACCTCGCAGTTCTTACTGCCCACACATGTGCTTTGTCAGCCCGCCCCACAACTTGGTCGGCTGTCGCGAGAGAGAGTCAACTTAGGAACCTGGTTCGAAGTTCAGTGAGGTTTTGTCTGTCAGCGCTAATCCGAATTTACAGGTTATTAATGTTTCAAAACTGAGATCAGGCTTGAATGTGCGAAGGGATCTCAGCACTGTTGCCTCTAGGCCGCCGGTGTCGCGAAATCATCGAATTTTCGGATCATGGAGTGAGGAGAGAAAACTGTCTGTCAGATCAATCGCGAGAAGCACCGGGGCACCTTATTCATCTGGTCTCGCCAGACAAGTTCTACAGGCACTACCCTCTGATTATCAGGAACATCAGCAGGATTCTAACAACAAAATTGAACCTAGTGAGGACGAAGAGGACATGAGTATAGCATTATCTATCGGCGTGATTGGCGACGAAGGGGAAGATTCAGTCGATAGTGAACTATCCAAAGATATATCTCAGAAGGCGTTTCAAATCATAAACCACAGCGGCACCACTGCAACTCTGTCAACGAATCATAAAGCTGGCTTGCTACCAATCGCTAATGATCGAAGCAGTAGAGGCTGGAATGCAAGCAATCTTGCTTACATAGAAAGAGAAGATCATTCATATATTCTCGGCTCAGAGCGCAGTCATGATGCACATTCCCCAGCTGCTCAAGGTGAACAAGACAAGCTTGATGATGTTTCATTGTATAGCGACTTTTCATCTTACGCGATCGCTGCGTCCCCAGATTCCAGGATTCAATTGACCGAACTGTTCTGTAGCGACAAGCAGCGCGAGACTTCCGGTTTGACAGATCATATTCGACCATCCCCCATAGACAACATAACCGAGGGAGTGGAAAGCACTCAGCCTAATGGTCAATTCAGAGATGATGGTGTGTCGTTGCCAGCAAATGAGTATGAGGAGGATAAAAGCCATTCATCACGAGCTTCGATGAATATTGAATACATTGCGTCAGCAGCAGATGATTTGGATATAGGACAAGTTCTAGATGCTGAGGATCAAAACTATGAACAAGGTCTTGTTATTGCCAAAGCTGCCGAGAAAGATGACAATTCTGTGCAGGACGATGATGCGTCGCTTGATGGTAATGAGTTGTTATTGGACTGCCAAGTTGAGACCGCCGAGACCGTGGATACGGACTGTTCCCGGATGATTGTGTTTCCGGAGGCACCGACCACCGAGATTTCGATGACTGCATTGGATGCAGTGGTTAGTCTTCTAGTTTCGGATGCCGCAACTACGCAAATATGGGCTGTTCAAGATTCTCACATGGAAACTGAGCTGCATAGCGAGGTCCTCGACGACCTTTCGCAGCACAGAGTTTTATTTGTGTCTCAATTTGAGCCGACGCGAGCTGCAAGGCATGTTATTCAGATCACGCACATGAACCGTGACTGGCAGATAGTGCGATATGTTGAAGTACCTCCTGAGACTACGGTCTTAGACTCAGTTCCGGCGACTGATGATCAATTACGGGACATCGAGGTTTTTTTTTGCAGAAGTTTGTGGCAGCTTGTCGCGCAATATGAAATGAAGACAGGGCAGACTGGCCAAGCTGACCGTAGTACTCTTCTCGTACAAGTGGCTAAGGATACAAATAACAACCGATTTGCAGAGCCAAGCCACGGCGTCGATGGCAAGACCGGGCAGGTTCCCGTCGCGGGCTTTGACGGGCGACATATACAATCAAACATTGGTAAACGGACAGCGCGGTGTTCTCACTCCATTGTTGGGCTCCTACTTTTTGTGACTATGTTAATGTCTATGATCTGTGCTTGTGGCTGGTTTTGGTATATTCCAATCCTTTTGTCTATGATCTTCTTGACGCTAACTATTTTAGGTATAACTTCTTATTACTAATGGCCGAAGTCTGGGAATTCCTTGATAGAGGTATGTGGTGTTACTTGAACCCGCGACAACGAGTCGAATTACTGGACGAAATCTACTTCAAGAGAAAAAGAAACTTTTATTTGATGGCAAGATTCGTAGTCGCCTATCTGAAAGACTATTTCGGGCCCCAGCCACGTACATTTGTCACATGATGATGCATGCCATCGATATATTGACATGGATAGACGAGACTTACGAAGTGCATTTATTGACTTGCGGGTAGATGTTTGAATGCAGTTGTGCATAGAGGATGGAGATTGTTGGCATATGGTGTGTGTTACGGATTTAGAGTTCTGAATACTGATACGTTGTTGATTGACCTGTGAGATTTATTTGTTTATATCCTGTTCCTGGCTTAATTTGGCGTTGGACACTGTTCGCGAAGATTCTGTGCTGATGATGACTTTTGCCATTTCTTTATGTGAGTTATACGACCTTCTGATATCCTTAAGTGTGAATTGCTTGTGTGGTCAAATAAAAGTTTAATCGATAGGCGAGATATAATGGAATTCCGAGAATTCCATTCGTTTTGGTCATCCTCTACAAGTAAGTCCTAGACGTCCGCATAGGCAGGCTATCGGGAGTCTGTACCGCGTTCATTTTTGAATCCGTGCCGTAGTATTCAAATGTCTGACGAATATGGTGTAATCGTAGCGATTGGCACAATCCGCTTTAAGTTGCTCTTTTTTAGCTTGTGTGACAACAGTGGTTGGCTCCGGATGGCCAAGCTGGTAAGGCGTCAGGCTGTAATGGTTTCCCTAAGGGTCGATTACCTGAAAATCGCGTGTTCGAGTCACGCTCCGGAGATTTTTTTTGGCAGCCTGAGTTCCACAAAACTTCTCTACTTGCATGAATATGCTTTTTCAAGGCCGGTCGAGTCGTAAAATGCCACTTCCATGTGGTCAATCAAATCTACGGCGCATAGGTATGGCTTATTGAAAAAATTTGCGATAGATCTATCCAATAATACTGCCCAACAAATTATGTTTAAATAATACTATTAATCCCTTTCACGACCGTCATAGCAGTCACCAACTAGCCGCAAATGTAATACATTTAACAGAAATATAAAATCACATGACGAAGCCAACACTCGTGCATCATACAAAAGAGAAATAACGATTCAAACGCCTTTATAATTAGTAGTAGTACCTAGAGTGAGGATATACGTGAGATTCCATGTACACTTCATCAATAAAACTAACAATGTTCGAAATTTTCTATAACAAAAAAAAAAGGCTAACAAGCAGTCGGTCTAGTAACCCAATATATGAATGAATGAACCTATGAATAAATAGATGAATGAATGAACAAAAACAAATCAATACTATATGCGACACATAACCGGTTCCAAACTTTTCTTATCTCACAAATGAAATTCTCACGGATCCGACCAAGTGATCTGACGACGTATTCGCTACCGTACGATGGCAAATCATATCCACACACAATCAGACGTAATTATTCGCCTGCACTGGAGTCGATTGTTCCACGTACGTATCACCATTATCGCTGCCGACTTTTGACGTCAGCGAGGAAAGACTGTGACCATCGTTATCAAGTTCTGGTGATGTGATAGGCAAGCGGTCTTCTTCGACGTCGTAAGACGAAGATGAGGCAACGGAAATTTTTTTCGGCGTGAATCCTATACAATTAAATAATGTTAGCAGGCTGAGTTACACAAAACGCGAGATGCGCGAATCACGCATAACGGAATCCTAAATCAAAAAGAAAATCCACGCAGGGCAAATACAATGGTTATGCAGTAACGGTCACGAAAAAAGAGCCACCTTTTAATTTTGTGCCTCTCCTCTGCCTTGTGCGAAAATCTAAATAAAATACTGCTTGCCGTTACTAGAGATAATGCCATCTGAATTGGCGGTCACACTGTCCGATCCATTGGATGCCGACACGCTTGGGACATTATCATCCAATTTTTCCTTGCTCATAGCTACACTAATAGATGTAATTCCGATTTGGTCGGGCTCGAGGTCTCTAAGGTAATCAAATTCGCCCATACGGATCTTTTCGCGGATGATGTCGACGTCGAGCGGCCAGAATAGTTTCTGCCCTGCCTTGATCAAGAATCGGGGTATAAGACACGCAGTCGCTGTGACCAGGATGCAAGCCCAGAATATGAGACTGCCGTAGACCTGGTTCGCTGCGCCATAGAACGCTGCCGAGAACAGTGAGACCGTGTACACCCCGGTCCAGAAGAACACGAGCAAAGAGGAAATGCACACAGAGAGGCAGAAGAGCCAGTCCCATCGGTACTGATTTAGCAGAACGTAAACGTTTGCGACGATGATAGCTGCGGTTGCGACGAAAACACCCATCGATTCTCGCTGATTGAGTTGCAGGCCCGAGGGGGTAACGAAACCACCAGTGTAAAACAACAAGTACGTGAAGAAGAAACAGATGACAGACTGATACAGTCCATCGAACATGTACATCCAGAACTTCTTCTGCGTCCAGTCTAGCCGTAGAATACCACGTTGGTACAGTTCCGGAACGGCAAGCGATACCTTGTCGTCGACATCCTGGTCAAGTATACCCATCAGAATAACTGGAATCGAAGTGAACGCCAGATTGTAAAGCAAGATATAGGTGTAATCGAACAAATAAGAGCCGTCGAAGTTATTGTAAATCTGGTACCAAAACAACGAGAAGGTGAAGATAATATTCTTGTAGAAGAAATTCGCAGTCATCTCAGCAAGCCGTCGATATGACCATCGCCCATGCACCAGTAGTAATCGGCTCAAAAACCTAAATTGACCAATGGCATAATCTGAAGACATGGCGGCTTGGCGACCTTCTTCACCAGCAATACCGACACCGATATCAGCAGCCTGGATCATAGCAACGTCATTCGCGCCATCACCAATAGCAAGAGTCATGACATCAAGACCGTTCTTGACCATTTTAACAACTGCAGCTTTCTGAGCGGGGCTCACACGGCAACAGAGGACGGATTTGCACTGCTTGCACAGCAAGAGGAATCGCATCTTGAGAGCATCGTCCAATACCAACTTGAGGGCATCACCATCAATGATCAATGCATGTGTAGGTTCTGGCGGTGAGTGGTCTTTTTTGGCGGCTTCTAACTCCTCGACGGTGCCTTTCAACTCGAAATACTGGCTCATGTATTCCGTAAGCTTCTGTTCGGCCTCTTCCTGTCCACCTTCCGCCGAAATTCGGAACACAATGAGCTCCATATCTGTGTCCAAAATATTGCAAGAGAAGCCGATATTGATTGCAGTCTCCACACGATCGCCAGTAAGGACCCAGAGCTTGACACCAGCCTCCGCCAAGAGCGAAATCGCATCGGGCACACCATCCTGCAGTCTGTCTTCGATAGCAGTACCACCCAACAACGTCAACTCACGTTCAATTCTATCTGACGCGATTTCCATTTTGTCCTCGCGATCAACAAGAGCAGCAGCCGCTTCATCGTACTCTTTACTCCACAATTCGTATTCTTCTTCTGTCAATACTCTCTGTGCGATACACAGCGTTCGGAGACCTTCGTTGGCGTAGATCTCAAGATGCTGAGCGGTGGATTCTTTTAAGTCTTCCTGACCATCATTTCGGAGGCGAGAGTAAATAACTGAATCCGCACCCTTGCAAAACAAGACAATTCGATTGTCCTCCGGCATTCTTACAATAGCACTCATACGCTTCCTCGTCGAATTGAACTCGAGCGTCGTGAGAACATTGTACTCCTGAACATGGCCCTGAACGTCGAGAATAACACCGCGCTGAGTACGGCCGATCAGCGTGAACCCAACATCGCGGGCGGTGCCGACGAGAGCAGCTTCATCTGGTGACTGCGCCTTGAACTCTAGCACAGGTGGGTCTTCGGAAACACGCTCGGTCAGAACGGAATGACAAAGAGCCAGAGCCAACATGAAATTGTGCGTAGCCTGCGCCTGTGCATGTCCAGATTCACCTTTCAGATCCGCGGTATACTGAGGCGCGACAAAAGTCATCTTGTCAGGATTGAGATAAGGATTGTTATAGATTAATTGAAGGTCCTGAAGCATCTTCTCCTTCGAAATAATTATTTGGCGTAATGCTTTTGCACCTTCCACCTCAGCATTGAGACCTTGTCGCTTTTGAATGCCCGCCATTGCTTCTGTATATGCTTCACCATACGAAATGCCATTGACAGTGACTTTCTTCAGCTCCATAACGTTCTGTGTCAAGGTCCCAGTCTTATCCGAGAAGATATACTCAATCTGTCCCAGATCATCGGAGATATTCCACGATTTCGGAGTACAAGGATAATCGATTGCCTCATAGTACATATATGTGTCAGACCAGATAAAGAATGCTTGGATAGTCTTGATAATTTCAATGGAGATGAACAACGAGATGGGCACAAGTGATTGGAATAGAATGATGCCGGTCCAAAAAGTGACTAGGCCATCGATCGATGATTTCCCGCCAATTGAGCCGAACTCAAACCATTGGATTGTGTTATCTGACTTGCTCCAGTCGATACCCTCGACGACTCCGGACACGAAACAGAGAAGGAATAGAATGAGAAAGTTATAGAGAACCTGATATTGTTAGAATACAGTGAATACGCACATAAGTCAGTACAATACACATACGTTGATGTTCAGTTCCCGTGTAATTCGACTTCGCTTACTCGGAGTTTCGCCAGCATTGAGCATGATCTTCGTCTCCTGGCCAGTAAACATAACGACACCAATAACCCACTGCGTGTTTCTGAGCGTGCACCCTCGCAATAAGAGATTATTAATCGTAATTGGCTCAGCCATTTCCTGAGGTGGCGAGCTGGGGTCGGTCCGATTGTGTTGCGACCATCTCATTACGCCTGAATAAGCATACAAGTTCGGATGCGGCGCTTCAGACTCAATGATAAACGAAGCACGCTCACAGTCACGCGAATGCTTGATGTGGGAACCGCATCTCACTGCCTGACGAACTTTGAGATTTGTCTCACCATCCAAGTTCTTGGTCTCGACGTAGCACGCACCATCCGAGTCAGATGTCGACAAAATGACAAGGTCAGCGGGAATTTCATCGTCATTGCGAATCCGTACAAAGTCGCCAACGCGAACGTTCTTCCAGAAACTCCGCTTAAACCGAGCTGTTCCAGAGATATCCCTGCTGTAGTCCATCACATTGCCATATGTGAGATCAATTGATGGTCTGCGATACTCTGGGATTGTGGCCATATCGTTGTCAAACGGGTTCTCCAGGCCAGGAGCAACATCGTGCGACCGAGAAATCTCATGCATCTGAAATGACTCGGAAATTCGATGATCGGTGTATTCAGACTGAACGGTCGTCAAGGTCATTTCCCGACCGAGGTCGGTGTCAGAAAAATGATCGTCGTCGGCGGCTTCTTCCAGGCGCCGCCTTCGGTCTTTGGCGTCCATTTCCCTACGTTTCTTACTTCCACCGAGATTACGTTTCAAGAATCGCAAGAATCTAATCGAGACGCGCGTGGAGGCCTTTTTGAATTTACGCCAAAGTGAGACATTGTCCTCAGACACGTTGGGATTGTGCCAATTTGCCAGAATCTGAGTTGGCGAATTATTCAACTCCAGATCGAGGAGAGTACGCCGGTAGTCTTCAATTGCATCCTTGATAGCCGTGACAGTGACGATGACAATGATAGGAACCGCGTCAAGACCGGGGTTGCTCGCACCAAAGATTGGGAAGATGCCCAGAATAACAATGAACAAGAAGTAAATGTTGGCAACATTGTGGAATTGCAGGAACAGGTTCTTTGGCAAGAAAGAAAGAGGCGTATATTTTGCAGAGCGAGTCTT